ATAACATGTACTGTTGTACTTATAACATGTACTGTTGTACTTATAACAAGTACTGTTGTACTTATAACATGTACTGTTGTACTTATAACATGGAGGATCACTATTTTTCTGTTATTTTGCTGCTGTTTAAGAGTGTGGATTTTAAACCACATGTTAAGCTCTATATCAGATCACTGTCAGTCATTTCTAACCTAAAAGTTTGAAAATATGAGTCTCAAAAATAAACCGTAGATTTCTTAACATAAAGTGTATCTGGTATAGTCCGAATAATTTTTTTATTAAATGTTTATCACACACACAAAAAACGGTATAATGAAAAGGGACCAGCTACATGTACTACCAAATAATAATAATGTATATTTCATTGAAAAAGATAATGAAGTGTATTGTTTCCAGTACAATCAGTATACCTTTTGTCTATCAATACCAACAGAAAGCTGAAAATGACAGCTGATCATGACAACAAACCAGTGGTATTCCTACCAACATCGATATGATCAATGAAAGCCATTATGACCCTGATCTCTGACCTCATCCTATATGTACCTGGCAGATCTTCCCTGGAGACCACCTTCCTCATCAAACTCCTTCAGCGCCTGACAGAAGGCCAGCATTGTGTGAGTGGCCGGAGTGAATCGGAACTGACCGGTAGCTTCTAGCCCTTGGTACTGGTCATACAAATCCAAACTCAAACTCCTTGAGTTTCCTAAAATGAAGCAAACATCAACCAAACACGCACTGAAATTTCAGTTTCCTTTTTAGCAATTATCTTATTGTTAAAAAATAAAATTTTAACGTTTAACGTTTTTATCCAATAACTAAGATACATTGGGATTTCTGTCAGTTACTTTATGGTTTTTCCAGGTACATTTGTACCTGTCTGGTTTTTACGTGGAATTTCCCAGGTATTTTCATACCTGTTTTGAATTTGCATGGTATTTCCCAGGTATATTTTGTACCTGTCTGGTTTTTGTATGGTATTTCCTTGGGTATATTTGTACTAGTGTGGTAATTGTATGTTATTTTGTGGGTATACTAATTCATACCTGTCTGTTTTTTGTATGGTATTTTCTTGGGTATATTCGTACTAGTGAGGTAATTGTATGTTATTTTGTGGGTATATTAATTCATACCTGTCTGGTTTTTGCATGGTATTTTGTGAAAACAATTTGATGATGTGATTGTAAATGTTAATTATACGTTACCTTTACACTTCTCCAGCGCACGTCTCCTGGCCACAGTGTAGGAGAAGCCTGGGATTCCCTGTAGACATTTGTTGGCTGAACTGACCATGAAGTCTACCGAGCCAGCCATCATGTCCAGTGGTACAGCACCAAAGCTGCTCATGGCATCCACAAAGAACACACAGTCTACAGAGACAAATCACTGACTTAAACAAGATCTTTACCAATTCACTAGTACTAATGTACACTACAGCATAGAAAGCTACAGGAACTGTTCATAGACCACTTTTACTCAAAGGTATATCTTATCAATACTGTACTATGAAAATACCTTGACAAAATACCTAAAACTGGTCTGAATAAAAATACTTTCAACAAGGCAACACTATGACTAGAATTAGGTTTTTGACACTGAACAGTATTAAATTTAAACCTTAAATGATGAATAATGATCAGAGGTATTGTAGCCAATATGGTTTCTTCCTTTACTTACCTGGTATTATCTCTCGGACAGCAGCCCCCACTTCCATCGCTGGGTTGATAACACCTGAACTTGTCTCACAGTGTACAACACTGACCATTGTGAAGGAGTTATCTGCCCTTAGTATGTCTGCCACTCTGTTCACATCCACTTTCTGGTCCTCAGGAAAGCTCTCCTGGTGGTACGGTACGTCCAGGTACTCACACATTTTGACAATCCTCTTACCGTACGCTCCATTCTCTAGTAATAATACCTTTATAGTAAAAACAAAAGTTATGATAGTAAAATACAAATAAAAGAAATGTGTTTATTGGATAGTATCATAGGCACAAATAAATGATTTAGATTATAATTAAACAGGATAATGCTAACAACAGAATATATATATCATCATTAACCTAAACATGCTAATACAGGTTTGTATTAACAATTCAAAGGATGTTGACATTTTTTCTATGTTTTTTTACAAATGGTAAAGTACATGATATGCCATCCTCGATACTCCAGGGGTTATGCTCACTTTTCTCTCTGCACCCCTGGAATATGTCATAGCAAAATCAAAGGCTAACTTAGTCCGAATTATTATGACATTTTATCGACTTTTTTCATATCGGTACGTCGTCGATTAACGTTAAACGAGGACGGACCGATATGAAAAAAGTCGATAAAACGTCATAATAATTCGGACTAAGGCTAACTGTGCGCCACCTTGTTGGTTGACAAGAAGACTAGTTTGATCCCTTGATCTTGCAGTTGCGTTAAGGTAAAATTGACTGGCTTTGAAGTCGGGTGTCGATCCTCTGTTATCTTCAAAGGACAGGTGTTAACCTAGCCATTGGTTGGGGTTTTATTTTACCTTAGACCAATCAAATAGCTAGCTGCATGTCTTCATTCCAGGGCAGCAGTGAGCAAAAGTGAGTGTTACCCCCTGGACTATTGTGGATGATGATATGCAGACATGTGTCATAACTTGGAACATTAATTTCCCTAAACATGTATCCCAGTCCCTCACCATTGAAGTCAAACATGACAGAAAAGTTTATCTCACCTTGCCACCCTTACGGGGGACAGCTGTTTGAATAACAGCTTCCACAGCAAATGTTCCACTCCCCTGGATTGGAACAGTGGTATAGTCTTCCTCATTGACACCTGGACAAACATGACATATGCCAAGGGGAGATAAGTCAGATGGTCAAGATTTTCTCCAATAACCACGGTATAACACAGGCTGAGAGGAGATCAACATAGACTAGGGTGACATAGGACAAAGGGGAGATAAGTCAGATAATGCATGTTAAGGGTAAGATTGTCTCCAATAAACACAGTATAACACAGGCTGAGAGGGAATCAACATAGACTAGGGTGACATAGGACAAAGGGGAGATAAGTCAGATAATGCATGTTAAGGGTAAGATTGTCTCCAATAAACACAGTATAACACAGGGTAAGTGGAAACAGCAGGTCAGATGATGAATGTTTCAGGTAAGATAATCAGCCTAGACAAGCATGAAATAGACAGAAGGGAGATGAGTAGATATATATAGGTAAATTAACACTGAAGGGAGATAAGTAGATGTATAAAGGTAAATTAACACAGAAAGGAGATAAGCAAATATATAGAGGTAAACTAACACAGAAGGGAGATAAGTAGATGTATAAAGGTAAATTAACACAGAAAGGAGATAAGTAGATATATATAGGTAAATTAACACTGAAGGGAGATAAGTAGATATATATAGGTAAATTAACACTGAAGGGAGATAAGAAGATATATATAGGTAAATTAACACAGAAGGGAGATGAGTAGATATATATAGGTAAATTAACACAGAAAGGAGATAAGTAGATATATATATAGGTAAATTAACACAGAAAGGAGATAAGTAGATATATATATAGGTAAATTAACACTGAAGGGAGATAAGTAGATATATATAGGTAAATTAACACTGAAGGGAGATAAGTAGATATATATAGGTAAATTAACACAGAAGGGAGATGAGTAGATATATATAGGTAAATTAACACAGAAGGGAGATAAGTAGATATATATAGGTAAATTAACACAGATACTATAGTTTAGGGTATCATAAAATAACGCACATATATGACAACATAATAAAGAAGAAATAAACAGGTGAAGTAATGCTTTCTTATGATGTATTTCTGAATCCCCCCTCCCCCCAACAAACAAATATATATATTACCAGTTCATTTATTCAAATATCTCATACGTTTATAATTGGATCTTCACCAAAACAAGAATATCTATAAGGTGTACTCAAAGTTTTTATTTTTGATGAGATTTTAGATCAGAGTACAAAATAATGTTGTTTTTTATTCACACACCTCAAAACTCTGGCTAGTGTTAAAATCGGTTTAGATCATTATCAGCAGAATTTGTCTGACGGGCATGTTCTTTATTCAGAGGCTACAAATGCAAGCAGGACAGGAATTTAAATTGCACAAGGCAATGGCCACTTGTATTTGACTCTCGCTGACCACTGATATTTTAATTCTTGTTCAATCTTACCAGCAATCTGGACAAGTCTGGAGCGCAGGTATTTCACCTTTTCTATGAACACGACATCTCTAGAACCAAGGTCTGGGAGTGCAGCTTCTCTGACAGTCATTGATGTTCCTAGTGGGCCGGGGGTGAAAAGCTTCTTCCCTTGTTCTGATTTAATAGAATGTATCATTCAAACAAAAAGAACCTATATCATTATGTACTTTTCATTTACTATTTCAGTAGTCAGTGTTCTGCAATTTTGAATTCACTCTTTCCTTTTGTGTATGACTATCAAACATATTATTTATCAATTATGAATGCTAATATTCATTGAGGTGACTAGCTGTTATACAATTATGGACTTCAGCTGTCTTTTTATAGAATGAGGTCAGTCAATCTGTAAGAGATTACCTGGTAGGGTGTAGATCTACCCCCTCTCCCGTCAGGTCAGTACACCCTACCAGTAACCTATTTGACGGAGTGTGTATACACTCTCTATCAATAGGCGAAAACTGATGAATCTAGTAGAAAAAAGGTCTATTGTGATAATCTGTTCATTGTTGGGTTGTCAAAATCTCAGATCATGCGTAAGAAAAAATATGTAATTTTACCTATCACCAGTCTTTTTAAGCATAATTAACTGTTTCTTGACTTAATAACTGGGTCAGATAAATTGAAACAGCATTTAATATAAACTTTATTAATTTTACAACAATTATGAAACATTAATTTATTTCAACTTATATAAATCCCTCCTGTTGGCTATTTTAAAATCTTAGTGTCTTAATGTGGGTGGAAACTGGAATATGAAGAGACAACTAACGTGGTTTGGCAGGTGACCCCATACATTTTCATGTCCGTATAAATAAGAAAAACTAGTCCGATTGGGGAATCCAATAGTGGCTGCCTTGGAGATTAAGGCAAGAGTGCGCTATGAGTATCCACTGCGCTACCTCACCACCCAACAAATATTTAAAACAATATTTAATGTGTTCACATTTAACATGTTAGCTTTTAATGCTTTGAATTTGTCTAACAAGTTAGACCACATTTTGTTTTATGTCCTTTTTACATGAACTGCTTCTGCTGATACTTGAAACAATTAAAGGGAGATAACTATTAGTATAAGGTAAGCATGGACGCAAGGGGAGATAATATAACTAGGGAATATTCCGTTATGACGATGAACGGGCTTAATCTTCATCTTACCTGTTTTTGACTTCATCGACACAGAAAAACGCCGCCTATGTTGTGTTGAGGCTGGTGAGGACCAGCAGAGCACCATTCTTGAAAATGCTCGTTCACAAAACTTACTCACTATCATCATTCTTTTTTAGTGGACAACACTGCAAAGTAAACTACAAAATGTCACTTATGGAATTTACACGAGAAAACTGCGGTCCACTGCAATCTGATAACGATACCTTACTAACATTTGCAGGCTAAATCTTTTCCTGACAAGGTGCGAGTGCAAACAGCTGACTGTGAGCCTCATGATAATATCCGGAAATATTCTTTAAACTGCTAAAATATACTAATTCATTTGCTTTTGAATGTTTTTATTTTGTAAAGGAAAGAACAACATTTCAGCCAGCATGCATAAAAAATCATTAAAACTGCTTCTCTGGCGTGAAGGATTTATTATATACTGACAACTGGACACTCGTTTATTTTATTACATTGGACCCGGTGCGGAACCGGAAGTGAAGCTAAGTTACTGGGAGAAGTGACAAAGCTGAAAAACGTGAAAATGAGCTCTATTGGAACAGGGGTAAGACCAAGAATTGTTATGTTATCAGTGTGTTTCGCTTAAAGGAGATATATGAAATACATATATTTGACAAGAATACAACTATCGTTTTAGGATGAGAACATTTTCGATAGAGACGTCAGTCACATGGTGTAGTAGACATATCATAAAATACTTTTCCAAAATTTTTGATTGTATAGATCATCTTAACTTCATTGTCAGTCATGAATCATGGAGCCGATGGCTTTGTACATTGTTCAGCACGATTATGTTTGATTTATTTAATACTACGTTTGTTGATTACACTTGTATAGCAGAGCAAGATTTGTATAATATTAGCACAGGACCCTGAAATTCTGTCAAAATCGTAAATTAATAACAGTAAATACAAAAAAACACATTTCTATGATATGCGTAAAAATAAACTGTTTATTAACCCCCGCTTGATTATATACGATTATACAATTGGTTACTCAGTTTAAATAAAATCATTATAAATTTGATTTTTCATTAGAAGTTAAAACCTTTACAATTCTGAGTTGTTTCCCTTTTAAAGTGTTTTGTAAAAAAAAATACCCCCTCTGTCTCGTGTCACTGAAGGGTATATATAACTAGAACAACTAGAAATCTCTATGAACAGACTAGGTCAAAACAACAACAAAATAACATGCATAAGTGGAGATTTCAACTTACCACACAAAGACTGGCAAAACAACACAACCATACCAGGCAAACAAGAACAAAAACTTCACCAGCACCTTCTGGACATCATAGACAACAACTCCCTTACACAAATAACGACAAAGCCCACCAGAGCAAACCACATACTCAACCTGCCACTTACAAGCAGACCATCAATCATTAACAAGATTGAAACCACACCACCTATAGGCAAATCTGACCATGACATAGTCTACACTGAAATCGATGTTCGACTGAAAAGAATAAGAAGATAACCCAGAAGCATATACCTCTACAATATATATATATAAAGCTGACTTGAATAACATAAGAAACAACCTCACACTTCTAAACACAAAACTTAACAAACTAACCAAACCGCAGACAATCTTTGGAACATGTTCAAAACAGCACCTACTTATTCAGTCACCAAAAATATCCCACAAAAACACATCACATACAAATCCAAACTCCCTTGGATAATACATTCTCTTCTTCGAATCATGAGAAAATGTTAACAATTACAGACGAAAAGCAAAACAAAACACGAACTAATACAGAAATACAAATCAGCAAAATCAGAACTACAAAAACAAACACGCAACGCTTATCTTAACTACATAGAAAAAATGATAAAGAAAACACTGACATAACCGCATTACGTAAATATTGAACCCTAAAAACTGACACTTCATGCAAGGCAAACATACTAAACGAACAATTTGAATCTGCCTTCACCACAGAACAGGACTGCCCCATACCTTCTCCACACCCTCTCATGCCATAAATACACATTACAGAACAAGGCATCTATAAACTACTCAACAACATCAACCCACATAAAGCAACAGGACCTTATAATATACATGGCAGAATACTTAAATAATTAAGTGTTATCACAGCACCCATTCTCACAAAAATCTTCACCCGCTCGCTCACTACAGGAACACTACCATCAGATTGGAAACACGCAAACGGAAACCCAACATACAATAAAAGGAGACAAGTACAACCCAGCAAATTACAGACCAATTTCACTAACCTGCATCACATGTAAAATCATGGAACACATCATAACAAGTGCCACAATGACACATCTGGAGAACAATAACATATTATATGACCTACAACACGACTTTAGATCCTCCAGATTCTGTGAAACACAGCTCACCACATTCATACATGATCTCACATCAAACAACAACAAACAAATAGACAGACATCATCATTATGGACTTTGACAAAGCTTTTGACAAAGTCCCACACAAACGACTACAATACAGACTCAAATATTACAGGATAACAGAGAACACACGCGTGGATTACAGACTTTCTCTCATTCCGCACCCAAACAGTAGTACTCGAGGGAAAACAATCAGACAAAATACAAGTAACCTCTGGGGTCCCTAAAGGAACCTGTTTTGGCCCCATCCTCTTCCTCATCTACATCAATGACTTCTATGAATACATGAAATACAGTACACTTAGACTATTTGCAGACGACCGCATCATATATGAGCCGCCGGCTGGGATTAGGGTCCTTAAGCAGTGAAAAATCAATTTTGTGATTTCGAAATCTAGAGACATTTCTGATCACAATGATATAAAAAATATGTCAGTCCGTCAATATTTTTTGATTTGACGCCACTTTAAAGATACGTCATACATAAAAGTATGCTATATAACTTCTGACGTCGCTTGCAACGTCATAATTTCTAACGTTACTTTTAGGATTGATACCGGCGGGTAACATATGTATATTAATTTTAACTGCTTATTTCTGGCTTCACTCCAGAAGTTAGGGTTAGAGTAAGATTGTAAAGGGAAATTCCAGAGCAGTTAAACGAAAATAATAAAATATGTTATTAAGTCATCTGGTTATAGCTGTGACAAAAATATGTTTACAACAAAATCTTGAATCAGTATTCACAAATCTATACCACTTTGTAATGACCATGACATACATGAAATAAAATAGAGATTTGACGTTGCAAGCTAGGTCACTGTCTTTTACGTCGCCGCTTTGAATGTCAGTCATGCCCAGCTCAACGAGTTTTTAATGTATTGAAGAGATTATATCTAAAAATACAACATAAGAAAACAAATCAAGAAAATCATGGCTTTCTGTCTTTCGGATTAGTTACAATTTTTATTTCTCTTTAGCGTATATATTCTTGCGACACTTTGGTCAAAACTTGTACAGGAGTTAAAGATAAACTTTATTTATTTTACAACAATATGAAATAACATATTTCAGCTTATAAAAAAAAAAATTGGGGGAGGGGGGTGTTATTAATGGGTCATGCCCAGCTCGAGAAAACCAACGTGATCGGGCAGGTGACCCCATATCTGTTCACGTCTGGTTGGGGAATTGAACCCCGGCCGCCTTGGTGAAAGGCAAGTGCGCTATCCACTTCACCACCCAACCACTCAGTACAGTATAATCATGTGTGATAAGTATTTGACCATTATATTTTAGTTGAATATGCTGGTATACTTACCCTCAGACTTTCCCCATGTAAATATTTGAGGTTGATGAGGTCACTTGTTCCAACAGTACCATTTTTCATTTGAATGAAAAACTTCAAAATCTTGCTGTTTTAATTTAGTGATTGTTTTTCTCAAATATTTGTTAAACATCATTTTCAGAAAACAAAACAGGCAGTTTAGTTAAGGCACAGAATATGTTTTTCCTATATTCAATACTGGTTTTTTTTGTAGATAAATAAATAACTGTTCATTTCCCATCATTTTATTGGCCAAGGAAAATTTCAGTTCCCAAATCAGGGGGCTAAATTAACGAGTTATCGTGGGGTATTTAAGTTTTATGAGTGCACGTATGAAGCTCTCGGCGTGTCACATATGTATAGCTGAATACGACCAGCCCAGATCATATTGCTGTATAAACATTGTTTCACTGACATGCTGTTGTGCATGTGATGGTATAATCAATTACGTTAACAATGAGACCTCTATATTACTTTATATTAAACAAGATGGTGCCCCTAAAAAGTTCAGTTTATGCATAATCTATGACAAAATAACACAAGAAAAGTTTGCTGACTTGATATTTGATATGAAATCCATTACTATCTCGCTAAAGATTGATGAGTCGTATAGAACACGTATAGAGACATATTGGTCAGAAAAGATTTTGCCAACGATTAAGCGCGAGGGTGTTTTACAAAAAGATTGAAAAACAACAATTGCAAATCAATGAATCACTTGCTCAAGTTTCAAACTTATGAAGTTTCCGATCGAATTCAGGGTTTATGTACTTTATACTATTCATCAGTCTCAATACTATGATGTACCACGTAATTAGATTAAGTCTAAGTTCGTGGATGGTGTACGTAGAAAAATAAGTTCCCGAGTTTTTTCAGCATGCAACAATCGCAATACTTTTGATGGTCATTGGTACCAGTGACTATGAACTGGCCGCGCATGCGCAAAATTTCAAGCTTAGTTGTCTTGCGGGAATTGTCAACATTTGATAAAGCTCCAAAAGTTAAAAGTTCCCAAAACATGTGTGCTAGAAAACCGACTTTTGTTTTTACTTCTACATGTACGAATGACATGTTAACAATACCGCAGGAATCGCTAAAAATATGAAAATACCGACGGTATTAAGCATTAATCTTTATTAAAAGTTATTTTTTATCTTATTAGCTCACCTGCCCGAAGGGCAAGTGAGCTTATGTTATGGTGCGGGGTGCGTCCGTTGTCCGTCCGGCGTCAACTTTTTGCTTTAAACAACTTCTTCTCAATAACCAAAAGGCCTAGGAAGATGATATTTGGCCAGTAGCATACTGGGATCAAGGGCTACCAAGTTTGTTCGAATAAATGACCTTGACCCACTTTCAAGGTCACAGGGGTCAAATATGTTAAAATCTTCAAACATCTTCTTCTCAATAACCAAAGAGCCCAGGGTACTGATATTGGGCATGTAGCATGCTGGGATCAAGGGCTCCCAAGTTTGTTCGAATAAATGACCTTGACCAACTTTCAAGGTAACAGGGTCAAATGTCGTAAAATCTTCAAACAACTTCTTCTCAATAAGCAAAAGGGCCAGGGTACTGAAATTGGGCCTGTAGCCTGCTGGGATGAAGGACTATCAAGTTTGTTCAACTGAATGATCTTAACCAACTTTCGAGCTACCAAGTTTGTTCAAATGAATGATCTTGGCCCACTTTCAAGGTCATTGGGGTCAAATGTTGTAAAATCTTCAAATGACTTCTTCTCAATAAGCAAAAGGGCCAGGGAGCTGAAATTGGGCCTGTAGCCTGCTGGGATGAAGGACTATCAAGTTTGTTCAAATGAATGACCTTGGCCCACTTTCA